TTGAATTCTTCGGAAGAATTTTACTATTTATAAAAATAATTGAATTTTTTCGAAGGATTTATTAAAATTTTAGAAAATAATTGAATTCTTTCGTGAAATTTTCAAAATAAAAAATTTTGTAATTTGCAAAACAATAATAAGTTGAATATCTTGTACCGCGCGTAACATTTCCTATTGCGTAAGAATGTGGTAGAAGCAATACAGGGTTTAAGGTTCAATTAGGACTTAAAAAGGAGTTGTCAGAGTTAAATAGAACTTACGCAGGAGGAGAAAAACACCAAGGGTTTGTTAGGTGCAGGTTAGGGTTAAATTATACTTACCAGGAGGTAAGCAGGTCTAAAAGTTCGACTCGGGATATCAACCTAGGAATAATATCATCTCACTGACAGCAAATTATTATAATAATTATAATGAAAAAAGCACAAAAGTTTTCCTTAGAGACAACAAAAAAAAACCCGAATTTAATTTTTTTTCTGTACTTCGATAACGATTCAGTATTTTAAAAAAATAGTCTCTTCCTAACGAAAGAGAAAGAAAATTGTATAACTATATAATTCATTCTTGGCATAAAAGCAAGATTAAGATTCTGAGAACTTCCTGTGTGTGAGAGAGAGAGAGAGAGAGAGAGAGAGAGGGCCAAAGAACCTCGCGAAACTGTCTTTCCTGCATGAATTATTTTTTGGATATAAATTACTCGAAAATTCTCGAGAAATTACAGTAAAATATTATATATTTATATGTTTCTGTTTATCCCCAAATATGCAAGTCACGTTTGACTATGTAACAAGTGTTGAGCATTAATCAGCGTTAAATTAACAATATTATTTTACTTCTACCCGTGTAGAAAAATTACGGGGCAGTCTGGAGTCCAGAGATTGCCCCAACTAGACGCATCTGGACGGTCTAACTGTGTGCTATATGGGATTTTTCTGGACGGTCTAATTTAGACTTTCTAACTGTATGCTACATGGGATTTTTCTGGACGGTCTAATTTAGACTTTCTAACTGTATGCTATATGGGATTTTTCTGGACGGTCTAATTTAGACTGTCTAACTGTATGCTATATGGGACTTCATTGGCATCACTAGAATTCAAAATTTTTAAAGTACAAATCAAAGTACAATCAAGACTTTAGTGCCCGATTTGTCGGTCTTCTTTGAATTTATACATGGATTGTCACTTCAAAATTCAATGGAATAATTTAGTATCTAAAGAATCGTTCAAAAATAAATATTGTAGGTTTATATGAATTATTATAAATAAAATTTTCAATGAGTTTAATTAAAAATTCTAAAGATCTTAGATTTTTGAAAAATGCCTAATAATTCAAATTCTCCTGAAATTAGATGAATTTTTTAACATATTGTATTTGATTAATTATTAAAAATAATTTATCTGTAGAAGAATTTTAGTTAAAAACACTATAAACAATTGAGTGTTGGAGAAGTTACAGATTATTGTAGAAATTTAATTATTTTCAAAAGTAACAAAATTCTACACAGAAATTCAATTATGTTCAATTTGTTTAAATTCTCATCAAAGTTTCAATTATCTTTATAAATAATAAAATCGTTCTCTGAAATTCAATTATTTTCCAAATTTTTAACAAGATTCTTGGCAAAATAAAATGTAAGCAAAAATTTAATTACTTTCATAAATAAAAAACTTTTCACAAAAATTCAATAAGGATTTACAAATTTTTTATAAGTTTCTTCTCAATAATTCAATTATTTTTATAAATAATAAAATTCTCAAAATTTTTTTATTATTCAAAATTTCTTAGTTAATTTCAGAATTTCTTAATTATTTTTAATACAATTTTAACCGAATTCTTCGAAAAGTGTATAATTATACTTAAGAATTCTATTGAAATTCGCCATAAGAATTCAATTATTTAAAAATTTTTTGATAAAACTGAAAGTAATTCATTAAAAAATGGTTAATGATTATAATTGTAGTAAGAATTATTTATTTAAATATTCATATATAATAATTAAAATAATTCGGATTATTATGTGTAATAATTTTAGTCATAGTTTTCACTTCGTCCTTATAAGCAACAGAATATATGACACTGGCATTGATATAGTAAATTAGGAGAGTTCACACCCAGACTTCAGTGGCCGTGCGGTTTAAATGCTTCGAGTCGGGTCGTCAAGGGTGGGGGGCGTGAGTTCGATCCCACATGCGAGCGGATATTTTTCATTGTAAGTGTTATATAAAATAATAAAATTATTATATTTAATCTGTATAAGTGTTATAAATTAAAATTGTAAACATGTTTGTAAATAATGTTAAAGGCCTGTTAAAGAATGAATTTAAAAAATGTACCAATTAACGCAAATTGTTTTTTTATTAAAATTATTTTTCAATATTAATTAATATTAATATTGATATATTAATTATATTAATTAATATTTAATATTAATTAATTACATTGAATAAACGTGAGAACCGAGTAAATTTGGGTAAATTATTTAAAATTAAAAAACTGAAATATTGAAATCGAACCTAAAATTTTAAATATTAGCACTGCTCATTAGCCCTGATTAGCACGTCCATTCTGGACCAACGTTTGGTTCGATCGTCACTGGTCTGATTAGCCCATGGTCAGACAGTCTTTTCAGCGCCCAGTTAGAGAATAGACTGTCTTTCTGGCACCACACTAGAACCCAACAATTTTTCTACACGGGTATATATTATCTTTCTGGAAGTAAATAATAAACAACTTCCCAGTTTTGTAACAATTGATAAAACAGAACAATTACCTTTCCTGTAATTTAAAACTTATGGAATAAGAGTTTTAAATAATAATTAATTTAAAAAATTATTGCTGCAAGAAACTACAACTGCATATTGTATAAGAAATTATTATATGTATTATTCTTATTATTTCATTATTATGAATCATAGAAAACTGATCCTTTTGGGGAAGTCTATGAACCTGTTTCAACCTGTCCTAACTCGCATAGAATCATAGGAAAAAATACATGATCCTAATGTTTCAAAAATTCGAATGAATGAAATGTATTTATTTCCTTAAATTTAAATTTTGTTACATTCGTAGAACAAATTGTTTGAAACGACTAAATGTTTGATTGAATTGATCAAATAAATTCATTGGATTATTATAGATTTTGATTAAACAAACTTTATTTAAAGTAACCTGATTATTTGTTCTGTATAAAAAATGTCATACACTGAGAAAACTGGAGTATTGGACTAAACATCTGGAGGGAAAAATCGTTCATATTTGAGAGTTAGCTATTGGATAACAATCTAAATGTTCAAATACACCATTGACAGATATTCGTGCCATTTCTCTTGGAGGGAAAATAAGTTTATAACAGAGGGACAAATTAACCATCTTGAGAAATCCCTTCCTTATCCGGCGCGAAATGAATAAATATGGCAACCTAACCCCTAAATTAAATACATAAAATGTCAGAAAAATAATTTCGCGCGCATCAGATCGTACACATTTTCTGCGCAACTTTTAACCCTCAGATATAATGGGAGAGAATATACAAGTAGATTTCCATTATCAATTCAAAATTTATTTTAGAAGGACTATTTAACTCTCTTCATAAGCAAAGGAAACATACACTTTTTGAACCTCTGAATTTGACTCTCCAGTTTTCTCAGTGTACAAATTAATGAATGCATTGATAAATACAATATTATAACTAAAGATTTGGTTGATTCAATGGAAAAATTAGTTCAAACGACTAAATTCTTTCTTTGAATTTAATAAATATTTATTTAGGCTAAATAAATTTTATTAATAATAACTTGATACTTTCATCTATAAAAAATAAGTGTTTCGCTGACAGATAAAAAAATGTATTGGACACAAACAAATTTTTGACTGAATTCACCAAATCAATGCTCTGTTATATACAATATTAATAATTAAAGATTTGCTTTATTCAATAGAAAATTCTTTTTTGAACGAAATTTTGCCTATATTTAAACCAAATAAATATTTATTTAGGTTAAATATATTTTATTGGTTCAAATAAAGTATTAATTTGGTTTACAGCATTTTACTCCGAAGAAGATGAGGCTAAAGTTCGTAACATTTTTAAAATCGAAAATATTATTAGGAAAAGAATTTTTTTTAAATTAATTCATCTTCAATTTTGATGTGCTAAAATTTTGTAGAAATTAATTTTTTTAGAGAACAGTTACTTAGAAATAATTTAATTTTGAAACCGAAATAATAAATATTGTCACATTATTTATCGTTTTTAATATCGTTGCTGACTTCAGTCTTATCAAAAAATTTCAATTTTATTTGAAGCAATCAAATTTTACTTTAATCTAGCAAATAAATGTATTGCTAACAAATAAATAAAGAGAAAATCTTTTATTAAATAAAAAGATTTGATTCAAATCATCTATTCTTCGCTGAGAGAAATGGATTTTGTTAAACTGAACCAAACATAAGTAGGTATGTATTTAAATGAAATAAATTTAGTTAAAGCAAACTACACTTAAAACAACCGTACAACAAAGTAAAGTATTCAATTCAAACATAAATGTTAAAAAATAAAAACAAATTTTAATATTTAATTAATTTATGCTCTTTATTACAGTCTGTAATTATTTTAGAAGTTGAAAACTTATAAACAAAAAATGTCGCTCATTTGATTGTTCAGGCTTAAATGAGTAATTTTAAAATTTTAAAACTTACAATTAAAGATAATAATAATTGTATTATGATCAACAAATTAGGAAAAAAAGTATTTTTCTATGTACAAATTTTTATAATTTTTCGCTTACAATGATTACACTTAATCATTACAAATTTTCCTTTTCAATTAATTTAAATAAAAAACTTTAATTGCTCTCCGTAAGGAAAATATACTTTTTCTATTAATAATCGTTGATTACAAACTTTGTGAACTTCACCGAAATAAATTTAATCATTATAAAGACAGTTTTATAACTATTTACACAATGAAAAAAATTGTTGCAAAAATTAAAAATAACTTACCATTCTATACTCCTGTAACCACGTAGACAACAATGAATAGCCTTGAATGATCCAACAGTCGCATACTCCGTTGTAACAACTTCCTTGGTAAATCTGAGCCCTCCTGGCAAATTCTCAAATCTATGCATATTGCAATAGTCCTTAATATCATTGCACCAACACTCACTAATTACTGTTAAGAGCACAATTGCAAAAACTAACCGTAACCTCGTCATTATTTCGATTTCAATCATCATGATGTTAAAAAATAACTCCGTGCCAATTCAATTGTAAGGGGTCAAAACAAAATAGACTACCTGATTTAAACTAAACCAGAAAAGAAAAGGAAAATGAACCAAAATATGAATCTATTTAGACAAAACAAGACAAACCACTGTGAATTTTCACATTTTCTCGAAAATTAGTTTTTACACATAACTCCCTTACCACACAAATCGTTAAGACCGATCGAAGCAAAAGATAATCTCTCTCTCTCTCTCTCTCTGCACCTTCCCACGCTCTTCTTTTAGAAACTGAAGGAAACTCCGATTCACAGAGACTAAAGAATGGACCCGAAAAGCAAAAACAGTACAACCGGTCTTGAATATATATTTCTAAGTGACGGTTACTTTAATATTTGTCATCAAACACACCGAATATTTCTTTATTTTTTTATGACAGGAGTATTTGTACCGAAAGTCACAGCGACAATTGGGTAAAGTTTACTTTGGTCCCATAAATAGAGAGAGAGAGAGAGAGAGAGAGAGACAAAAAAGTTTCCGAAATATTAATTAAATCTTAACACGCATGTATAGAATTGAAAATTGCATTACCTCCACTAAAGAAAATAGAAAATGTTGAATCAAAAAATTGATGACCGAGATTAATTTTGCTTTTGTCGTGTGATTTATCACTTACTTAAACACACTAGTAAACACAATTTTCACTAACACATACACAAGGAAAACATTGGTAATTTTAATTCTTGTAAATAATAGATAATGATATAGTTGTAGTTATATCATATCTAGTGTTGACAATACGACATGAACACTACGAGCGCAGAATGCTTACTGATGTTCCCGCCGAGAAACACGTTTGAAAACGGACTGCCTGTTGCCTTCGGGATACTTCGACTACTTACGCCGCGCGAACTTGAATTTCAAATTTAAATTCTCTTATTCATTCCAAAATTGATTTATACTATATTTATTTCATGACTTCTAATTGATTTCAATTTATAATGTAGGGCATTTGCTTCTTTTCGTTCACTTTTTGAATCAAAAATATTCAAATCTTAACTTCTTGTTTATAATTTTCAATGTGAATATTAGTCAAAGTTATTAACAATGTAAATAAAATCTCCTTTCATTCTTTTACCTTCTGCATATCATAAGAGATTGAAGGATGAAAACATAGGTCTATAATTGTTCGACTCGGCTGCGTAAACTTTTACAATTTCCTTAAGTATATGGTAAGTTAGGGATAGATGTCCCGTTCTTTGACGGATTATCCTAAAATTTCGTAGGCTTATTGCAGCCTACCAAAAATTTGACATTAGGTTTTTCAAATATATCCAAACAATTTGTTTTGACCATTTTTTAAAATGTTAAAAATATGTATTTGCCAAAAAAATTTTTTTAGGCTGTAAATATAATTTTGTTTATTAAAAAAACATATATCTTGCAATAAAATGAATTTATTAACCTATATAAATTTCATATTTTACAAAAAGCTATAAATTAAATCATTTTTCTTAATTTCGAAAATCATCGATTTTTTAATTTTTTGAAATAACTTTTTTCTATTTAAAAAGTTTAATTAATTTTTGTCAAAATTGTATTTGCACAAAAAGTATACGATATAGGGGAGACTAGGTGCAGTTATTACAATTTTAATAAAATCAGTTACAGTATGGGAGACTAGGTGCAGTTGTTACAATTTTGATAAAAGCAGTTACAGTGATTAGAGTTTAACTCTAATTTGTTTGATCAAACTATTAAATCAAAGGTATATTATCCAGCTTTAAAAGGCAATAATTGATTTAGCTCTATTTCTATTATTTAAATAACTAGAAGCATTTTAGTGACAGCGTGTAAATTGTAACAACTGCACAAAGTCAATGTCGGTTGTTTCAATACCAAGAATCCTCTGCAACGTTTCTAAATTGAAGACAAATAATTTTTTATAACAATTCTTATTAATTATTCGTAATTTTAAGTACAAAGATGATAATATTAAAATGATATAGTTTAATAAATTTAAGTACATAATTATTAGTTATATAGTTCCCAATAATGAATATTAAGTAATTTGAGTTATATTTGATAATTGAGGTAAGTTAAATGAAAAATAATTTTCCTCTATGAGGAATTACACTTAAAAACTATTTACAACGAAAGTAACAATTGTTTAAACAATTAAAATAAAACAAATCAACTATTATTTATACTTTAAAATAAAAATAGAGTGTACAATTATTAATTAATTAATTAATGAGTTAACTAACCTTTTAATATTCACACTGACAGATTTTTCGCACAAAATTCAACAGAATTTATGTAAACAAAAGTAAACACTTGTTTAGTCCATTTGTTTTGACATTTTATAGGGGTTATGTAGCTCAATGTAATATAGTACGTGACAGTTCCTTAGAGATGGCAGCACTAATACTATTTCGATATATCCGATGAATAACAAGCAGAGAAATATTTACTTTTGGCCTCTAAAAACCAATGTGCCTATTTTTTTAATTGTAAAGCTTGCATATAGTTTTTAAACATACTGCAGTAAGTTCGTACATAAAAACTAAACATTTTTCCCTTTGGAACCCCATCTCTATAATTCACTGTTTCTGAGATATTCCATTTGTAACAACTGCACACTGTAACAACCGTGCTTAGTCTCCCCTAATTAGAGTTTAACTCCAATTTGTTTAGTCAAACAATTAAATCAATAAGGTATATTATCTAGCCTGCCTAAATAACAATATTTTTCCCATTTAATTAACATGGGATTTTTGCACTTTTTAAAAAATAATTTTTATTTCGTTTATAATACTCTTTGACTAACCAACAATGCTTGATTTTGCTTCTATTCTTATGATACCTTTAGATAGAGAAATTTTCATATTATCGCGAAAAATTTATTACACAAGTTTAAAAAAGATCAATTTCATTTTCATTGATTTTTTTGATTATTTTGCTAAATCTACTTATTAATTAATTTTTATTCGGTATTTCATTGGAAGTTTCTTGTTTTATGCATCCAATTAAACCATAATAATAATTTCAATTCATAAACTATCCAATAATCACACAGTAGACTGAATCCATTTCAAATCAGGCATGTCGACGAACTTCATGTTATAGAAAAAAAAATTGTTTTGCTTGTCATTTTTTTTCTTTTGAGTATAATTTAATTTTCTTTCTTAGGTCTTGTAGATGGGCTTGTCCTCTTTAAAATCCAGTTTGAAATTTGAAAAAATATTTAAAATTATAAAAATAGGGGATGATTTTCTGAAAATAAATAAGATCAATTTTCTCAAAAACACCACCTTTTTTGTTATCAAATTTTTACTACAAATTATTAAAATAATTATGAACACTTCTTATGAATTTCAAGCGCGCTAAACCATTCTGTCAATCAGGAGAATTTTTTTTTTAAATTTATTTTTACAAATTTTCAAATTGTTAACGTTAACGTCAACAATGTTATAACGTGTTACGTATGACTTCGTAACTATTTTTAATTTTTTCATGAATTACAAATTTGTTATATTGTATAATTTCATTAAAAATTTGGGACTTTTGTAAATAGAATTAAGTACTCAATAGACATATTATTAGGACATAAGAGGATTTTTACATAATTAACTCATCAATTAATTTGTCTTAAAACTATTTTTTCATAATTAAATTATATCCAAACTTAAAAAATAACGATAATCATTCTTCAATTGTTTTCATTCCCAATAACATTCAATATTATTTTTAAAATTATAATTCTAAAATTAGTTGAAAGAATATGGACATCACTCTTATTTTAAAAGGAATTTGTCTACTTTGTTATAAGTTACTTTCCACAGAAAAGACTCTTAATTGTATTGGTAAAATACCAAGAAAAAGTATACACTTAAACATTAAAAATAGAGCATACAGAGCATCGAACTATATCACGCCATTTTAAGGAATTTGCAAGCTTGCAAAAAGCTTGCCTGGCAACAACGAAGTTTGGCGAGCCGTGTGCACCGGCATCCCCACTATTCGTTTCATATTAATTTCAAGGTGTGATCCATACTTTCGATCGTTTTAACTAATGAGTCCGAATTTGTTCCTCCCGCAGTAAAGCTGCGTAGAATTAAGTGTTCCTCCCGAAAATCGGTAGAGTGCACTGAGAGAAATGGATAGTCAGATTTTGATGTTAAAAAGATGATGTTACACGATACTATCATTATGATACTGCCAACCATCACAGATGCTAAAAAAAATATAGTTATGCTACCCCGTACTACCAAGATGTTACTCCTGATGATATTGATGGTAACGGTGACTATCTAGATAGCTGTCTGTATACGTAGCATTAAAGATGGTCACCCTAACCACAATTATGTTACCCACTACTATAAATTTCTCTCCGTGTGTTAATTTGTTTTTCCCGCAGAGCGGATGATTTTATATTTTTGAGTTTTATTTCCCGCAAAAGGCGGAGGTTTTATATTTTGTCCCCAAAATAAGGGTTGATTTTAATCGAATTGAAGTGAATTGATAATTTATATGATTTTTTAATTATATATGAAAAATAAGTAATTTTGAAGAAATAAAGTGAGAAAAGTGATTTACCATATCATTAAAAAGGAATAAAAGTTAGAAAGAAGTTAAATTTAAAAAAAGAATTGTTTAAAGAAAATATTACTTTAAAAAAGTAATTAAAAAAAAGAATAAAAGTAATTCAGAGTGTTAAGTTACAAACCTCTATCTCGTGATTATAAAAGCATTTTTTTATAATTGTCTTTACTGCAAATATCAGAGTTGATTAAAAGTTCAAAATCGGTGACCCGGATTTTTGAATATTAAAATAAATTTTGGTATAATTTTGAATTAAGATAAGTAAAGAGTCTTAAACTGAACATAAATAATTAACAAGAAGGAATAAAAACTATTGAAGAATAAAAGAAATAAGAAACAAGGAAGAGAAAATCTTGATGAGGAATATACTACAGGTATGAATCTAAGTGATTCACCTATAAAGAGTAACAGGAGACTTTTCTGTCTCTAATATAAATAAAAGATTTATAAGTTGGTGAGTTGGTGAGTTGATTATTAATTATTACATACTTTATACATTTATACACTTTCACACATTACGATTTATATTAAGACATAACAATTATTATTTTATAAACAAAAAAAATACTAACTATTATGTATTAATAAACATAAAGAAATTAGAATCTAGTAAAATTCTTGTTAGTTGTATCATTTTTTTAAAATAAATATTTTAATCATTTATAATTGAATAAACGAGAGCATTCTATATTGAATCATATTGCAAGTACATAGTGTTTTATTACGGTTTTCTAACTGTTGTCACCTAATCCTTTTTTTTACTTCTTTCAATTAAAATACCGTCTAACCGGGGTTATTGAATTAATAATAAACCTAAAAGAGGGATCCACTACCTTTTGAATATAAATTTTGTTCCCGAAAAGCAAATAACGTTTACCTTGGGATGATAAGTTTTAAGTCCTATTCCTATTTAACCTTTTGAAATTATCTTCAATACAGTTAAAGTTGAATTTGCTCAAAATAAAGATTTGTTTTTTTTTGTAATAATTAATCAAATTCATCTTTAACATAACGATTAATTTGTTTTTAAAAATGCAAGTTAACAATTTAAAAATTTGCAAAAATAAGTATTTAAAAAAAATTCTCTTGATTGACAGAATGGTTTAGCCCGCTTGAAATTCATAGAAAGTGTTCATAATTATTTTAAGAATTTGTAGTAAAAATTTGATAACAAAAAAAGGTGGTGTTTTTGAGAAAATTGATCTTATTTATTT